TTAGCGTACATTATTTTGGTCCTTCGAGCCGGATTCCGCAGTCGGGACTGAAGTATATCTTTAAACAATCCACTTTTATAATCTAACTAAAACTAAAAAAAGCCCAAAAATCGTTGCAACGATTACAGCAACTACATCGTAACCTGCAAATTTGAGGTTACGTTGGACACGTGATCATGACGGTCAAACTGCGCGATGCAGCGTTGAAGACGATCAAGAGATACTTGGCTGTTTCCACCAACGAAGCCAACGGATTCAGTAGCTCAAAAATTGAAGGCTACGTGAAGCTTCTAGAAGAGCAATGGGCAAAGTTCACGGAGGCACAGGATGCGGTAAAGGTTTCATGTGGAGTCGAAACGATTGATGCTGAAGAGCAAGCGCGTGTGCAGGCAGAAGCCTGGTGGAGGCGCTTTGTAACTTCAAGCAAGTGCTTAGTCAAACATCGTTGCCTATCGCCAGTACACCCACGGCAGTAACACAGGCTATCGAGACGTCGATTCTATTCCCGATTCGTTTAAGGCATTGGTGCACGATAATACGACGCTCTCAGGCTACCAGAAGTTGCACTATCTTCGCAGCTGCCTTCAAGGCGAGGCGCTGCAGGTCGTCTCTAACCTAACAATTTCGGAGGCAAATTACCATGCGGCTGGGATCTGATTTGCTCAAAGTATAAGGTGAGGCGAATCATCGTTGATAGTCACTTTCGCGCAATATTCAACATAAAGCCAGTTTCGAACGAAAGAGCACAAACACTTAAACACGTTCTCAATTCAATGTTGCAAAACATACGGGCTTTGCAAGCGCTTGAACGGCCAGTAGAGGCCTGGGATGATTGGGTAGTATATTATCTGTTATCTAAACTTCCACATGAAACCCGGAAACCGTGGGAGTTGTCATTAACGAATGATAAGCTGCCTACATTCAACGACTTGCAAACATTCCTCGAGAGCCGGTGCCGATCGCTAGAGGTACTAGCACCTGGTAGTGGCGGACCAACCAGCAAAAGGGG